TCTCATCGACAATCCCACCACAGAATGTGTTATGCAAAAATTCACATCTGTCTGTGACCCAACGGCAATCGTGGCAATGTGTCGACATTGTGCTCTACACTGTCATGGTTCGAGACCCCTCGGGGTGTTGCTAAGGCCTAGGCGAGGTTAAAGTTCCAGTCGAACTTGAATGAGAACACCTTTTGGAAAGTAGGGTTACATGAAATTCACTGGAAACGTCAGCTATACTCATATCATTGTTGGACGGGTTGACTAGTCTTAGTTACTTCATGGATTATTACACTTCCAACATTCTATTTTTATCTGAAAATATAAGGTTTAACTTTAAATCAAGTGACAATTTTTTATTAATTGAATTTATTCTGTATCTTTCAATGTCCATTTTCCTGCAGAGCCTTTGATGTTGCTTGATTTGTATGCTATTTTTTCTTCCTGTTTCGCCAACCTATTTTATAAAACTCCTGAACAATCCAATTTGTCTACCCTTTCATGTTGCGTCGGTAGACTTGTGAAAAGCGTTGGTTTCTTTTTCATGGCCACCCGAACATTTCATTTCTTTAATATTGGCCATGAAGGTGGGCACATACACTTTTGTGAATCCTTCTCCGTCCTTACTCTTCTTTCGTAGTCCCTGTTCTGTCATCGGATTTTCACGGCTCGTATTTTTCTTTGTATTACTTCGCTTAGGCTGCCGTTGCCAAGGTATATCCCAATCAATTTTTTTCAATTCCTCGTAACAGAATTCCACATCCGTTAAACGTAGGCTTCGGATGGTCATTTCTATCTTTAGCCTGTAATTGTCATGAGACCGGAAATTTGGTATTATCATGGCATACGACTTCCTTTTGAACAATTTCTTCTTTAGCGTCACATTAGAGCGAATTACTTCAACGTCCAGGAACGGTAACTGCTCACCTTCCTCTCCTTCCATCGTGAATTTCACTGCTTTATCAATCTGGTTTACAAACTTCAGAAACTCTCCCAGTTTTTGTCTTCAATGTGACTAAAGTGGGAAGTAATCATCCGTGATAGCGGTGTCATCTTGAAGTTCTCTTCTATTTTGTTCATCTATACGTTTGCCAAAAGTGGTGAGAGCAGCGATCCCATTGGAAATCCAAATAATTGTTCTTCGACGTTCCCCCTGAATGTAAAATAAGTTTTTCTTATTGTCAAGTTGATTAGTCTTGTTAACGACTCCAGGATATCCTCCTCCCGGTCCGGGATTTCCAGCAGAACCGTTAGCTTACTTTCCCCAGAGATATTTGTATACATGATTCCTCGGCATTGGCTACCATAGCAATACATACGGGCTGTGAAAAGCCGATGGCAGAACGGAGACTATGAAAGAAAAGTAATGTCGATTAAAGATTCACATAAGTGGATATGCCTAGCTTCCTGCAAACTAACTCAAAAGCTACGGCCAATATTGAGGAAATGGAATATTTGAGTGGCCATGAAAGAGAAATCAACACTTCACAAGTCTACATGAAATGGTAGACAAATTGGATTGTTCAGGAGTTTACTGCATTTGATGCGGTACCTACGAGCATAAATAGATTGGCGAAACAGATAGGAAACTTATCACACGAATGAAGGAACATCAGAGGTTATGCAGGAAAATGGATACCGAAAAATCAGAACTAGCCGAACTCATCGTACAGACTAGACACGAGATCAATTGGTAGGCAACAGAAAGAAGCGACCCATACGGTGACAACACAAGGAAGCAGAAGATTAGGGAGACCATTTACAGCTTGGGGAGAAAAATCTAATGAACAGGAGATTAGAGGAGGGTGGAATTAGCAATAACTTTGCCCAGTGCTTAAGCAAACTTGGAGAGAACAAGAATAGCCTGGATCAAGGATCTATCGCTAACCGGAGGAAAGAGGATCGCGATGAGGAAAATGGGGGATGGGGGTTTTCTGCAATCAAGCGAGGATGTCGTCTGTGAGTGATGTCCGTTTTGCATAAACCAACCTGGCAGTCAGGGACCTGGGCGTACGGATAAGCAAACCGTCACGGAAATTCGGCAATGTGGCCGAAATGTACTAGAAATCCACTTGAGATGCCGTTTCCGTGTGTCTGGAGTGAAATGCACACTGGGACTGGAACCGAGTGAAATCGGTCAACCAGAAAGATGAGCAACTTATCTACAAAAGATTGAGGGAGATCCGGATCTGGTCGGATGATCCCATCGGGGTGGCTAGCAGGTGTGATGAGGCCACACTAGATTTGCCACAAATGGGCACACATTTTGACGAGTGGAATGTAAACAAGTCGTAAGTTGTGATTTGGCGGCAGTGGGAGAAGAGGGTAAAGAGTAGATAGATAGACCAGCACATAAAGAGGAGTGGTAGTGTAAACGTTTTCGGAAGAACGTTTGAGAATGTACCAAGTCCACCTTCTGATGCTGGGAATCATGGAAACTGCTATGGCAGACGACTTCGGACTAGGTGCGTTCTACCAAGTCGCCATGACAACAACAAGACCAAGTTGCCACAACAAGATCAGTCCATTTTTATAAATCGAACGGAGACTGTACTGTACCAGAGGCCATACCATCTTGGTCTTCATAACCTCGGTTATTACAGTTTACTACTTTTTATTACTCACACTTTTTTATTGTTTATTTTCTCATTATTCATATTCTTCCGCAGTTGACTAATCTGCCTCCGCTTTGGGATTTCACCTTTTTGGGTGTGATTTTGTGTTTAGTCTTACGGACAAATTTGTATTAGTATTGTAATGTAAAAGCTTCTACAGCGAATTTTGTTTTATCAACTTTATGGCGATTACTGTTTCCCTAACTTTACAGAGTGTTTACTTCATGCCATTTTAGACTTGAAGAAATATATCCCATAGAATGGCTGCTTCGGAAGCGGGGTGATTGCATAGAGAGAGAGAGTTCGAGACTGATCACTCGTCATTCGTATCAGCACAACTGCCCGAAATCCGTTCAGTCTTGCCAGGCAGCATCCTCGTCGAGATCAACCAATCATTCCGATCACTTCACAGATTTAAGTTGGGCCAAAATCAGCCGGTCGACTGTCACATCATCGCACGTCGACAGTGCCCATCGGGCCATATGCTCTAATCAACACATGATCCGACCACCTTCCACTCGCTACTCTTCTCAACTCATATTCAGCTTTCCCCAGAAGAGACATTGTGTGCCGTGTCGACAGGGCACATTGTTGGAAAAGCAGTCGAAGACTGTGTATTCTCCTTCAACTTGGGATGATCGACAAGAAATGGCATACTTGAGAGGAAAAATCAGACAAAAGGAGAGGAAATTGCGAGGGGAAATAGAAGAAGAAGAAGCTAAAACTGAATTTTCTAGATTGAAGTTTGCTCTGCATCGAGTGCGCAATGAGGGTGTTCCATATCTCAGAACAAGTGCCGCTCTTGACAGTCTTAAACGTCTACAGGCTGAGGCAGAGTTCTGTTGGGAACCTTCCAGTTGCAGACGATACCGAAAATAAACATTTCTTGGTAGATGATACAAGTTGCCCACATTCAAGTCGCGCTTTGACAATTTGCTTTTGTGAAGTGTTGAAATATTTGATTTATTATTCTAGCATCATCATCACACCATGCATTGCGGATTTCAGTGCAGCTAATTGTTTTTGTTTGCTAAATGCAAGAAATGTATATATTTTTGACTTTAAATGCAGATAAATTTGACCAATTTACCTGGCTAGCTTGACTTTCATACTAGGGCCTGAGGGCCAGATCTGGATTTTGCTGGTTGTTGACATCATCGTCTGCCTGATTTTTATTGAGTCGTTAAGTTTGATATTGGTCGCTTACTTTACAATAAAAAAAATATAATTTCCCATGCTGAAATGAGAATATCTCACGAAATTCACTCGTGTTTGATAAATAAAAATCGACTTCTCATCATCATCAAATTAAGCTCCTTTATATAATTAAAAACTCTGCCTTTCGTGTAATGTCTTCTTACCAAATCTCATTTGTAAAAGGATTTTCGACAATACAAATTTGTATGAGATGTATTCATTCTTTTACGTTTAGGTTGATATTGGGAATGCTTGTTGAATTTTCTTACAATGATATTGGGTAGACATAGCATGTTCATTGAATTTTATATGCCATTGCCTTCCCAAAAGTTATTTTTTTCAGGTCTTATCAACACCCCCAGTCGGGTCCGAACAGTGACAATGCAGCGTATAATCTCGACATGTTAATCACTACGCCACATTACCCCGAGTGCCTTTGGGCCACAGAGCAGATGTGAATTTAAAGGATGGTCGGACACTTTTCCATATATTACTAAAGTCCACCCGGAATAACTTTTGGCAAAGCCGAAAAATTCAACTACCAGTCCCCTAAGCGAAATAAGATAGTCTCAAAAGCCTACTTATAAACGAAACATACAAATCTGTATTTGTCGTTACAGTCGGCGAGAATTCGATGTATTAAATTTAACATATTTCACTTCTTTCATCACCCTAACACACCATGGATAATTGAGGACCTTTTAGATTTAGCCCATCTATTATGCTATTTCATAATGCAGGAACAACCTTACTTTTATGTTATATTTGCATCGAACTAGTTACTGGGATTGTCCTTCCATAATGTATTTGCTTTGTAGTATCCATCTTTAGTCAAACCATTTTCAACCATACAACCTTGCAAGTCAAACGACTGCAGTAAACCGGGATTGCACCGTCCTCTTTTGGTGAGATCGACCTTCGATACTCTTCCCTAAAGTCTTAACAAAAAATATTTTACTTCTGAAGTTTAGCCGAATTAAGGAAAATCATGGCGCCTAGCCAACTCATTTTAAATAACACTTTATATCAGTTTCCATTTAAAAACAATCGCAACTATAATCCTGACTGTAACCGTTCGTTGATAAGACCTAGGAAATTAATTGCCATACTAGCATTACTCTTTTGATGTGAGCCTATATTGTCTGTGAAGACGTATGTTAATGAACTTAAGTGGCGGTCATTAAGAGCCGCTGATTCGATTTAGGGAATTAAAACTTTTCTTAAAGCCTTATTGTTAAATAATTATGCATCATTTTTTAAAATGCAGAGTAGATCCCGGGAAATGAGTTGAGATGGTAGAACGCGAGAATGCGGTACAGAAGCTCCGTAGACTTCGAAATTATGATCATTTTGAATTGAATCCGATCTCGAAATGGCTGTCATAAGTTAACTTTTTTTGAAAGCCTGGACGCCATGAATTTACTGGTCACTTAATAATATTTAGCAATGGGTATCAACCGCGACAGTTGTGGATAAAGTGCTTCTTTTTTAGAGAACAGTTTTACAAGTAAGGTTGATACAGCTATACAATTATTGATTAATGAAGATGTACCTTTTGCTGTCATACGCCAGAGTGATCTTTATACTCTACCAGTTCTAGTGCCAATTGTTCTGTCCAATTCATTTTTGAGGTCATCGCATGAGATAGCGCCTCCTTGGCATTTTCGCTCTACGCCTTTTCGCTGCCTGAGGCGCTTGACTCTATTTCCTCTTGCATTTATTATTATTTGCTATTTTCTTTTGTATAATTATTTCTTTGTCTCTTAGCTTCACATACTCGCTGGACTAAGCGTAGTAAATGAGACTGTTTGAGAGAAACTGGCTACGGTAGGAAGCTATTTTACTCACTTATTTAATTATTTGCAGTGACTCGATCAAACAATGCTATTTCGACATTCAGATGAAACTCGTTCAAGGTCTAAAAAATAGGCTCCTAATATCTAAATTAATCCAAGAGGTCTTCGTATTCATACTATTTTCTGTTAACGCAATTGGCTGTTTAAAATGAGAAGATCAAATTTAATTTTTATTTGAAACTTACTTTCGATATAGGCCCAACTAGTCATTTCGACCAGTTTTGAGATATCCACTTCACTTTATATTCGAAGTTTGTAGGTTTAGAGAATTTGAGTAGACCTTGATTAAAAGTAGTGCTATCCTCGTTTTCATTAAGCAATAGGTACAATTTTGCTCACAGTTGCGTGATTAGGCTTCACGTTTCCATTAGCTTCAACTTCGGCTTTGTAACTAAATATTTCAGGAAGGACTTGAGTTTGAACCTTTTCTGTGTTTCATCAGAACCCAAACGCCAATCTAATCTGATTATTGCACATTTTCTTATCAAAGTATTACTATCAGAACAAGATGACACATGTTTCAATAGGCCATAGGTTAGATTTTGACTTAAATGTAATCTATTGCTATTGCATTTTGAATTTATAGTAGGTCTATTAAAGAGGCAAACATTTATATAACTCGAAGGTATGAAGACCAAGATGTTATGGCCTTCTGTTTGGTCGCAGTCTCCTTTAACTTTATACTATTGGTTCGACTTTGTCGGAGCGTAATATAGACCTTCTTGGCGTACATAGTCCCGTGTCTAATGCCATAGTATTCGTGATTTCCAGCATTGGTACATTCACAAAAGGCGCCATCTGGAGTACATAGTTACTACTTATCAAAGTGATAAGTAAGCTAATCCCCTTGAGTAATTTTCTGTTTCAAGATTGCCAGTTAACAATTACAAAAATTGTAATACAATTTTGTCATTTGATCTTTCTTAACTGTTGTAAACGTTATCGCAATTTGATGAGGAAATATCATTCCGACAAAGTCAATATTAGTATTATATTAAGCTTTTTTGCAAAAATTAGAGGAGACGTATGATAGAGAGAGAACAAAATGATTTAAGTTTTTAACTATTAAATCTAGACTCTGGCATAATTTGATTCAGATTTTTCACACAGAAGATGGCAGTTAAAATAGCGAAAATGATATCGGACTTAATCAAAAAAAGTACCAGAAGACGCTGAATAAACATGGGATCTTTAGGAAGCCCAAGGTCCAACCGTCTTGAAAAAATGAAATGCTTCTAGTCTGACGAGTCTCACAGCCCAGACAAGAAATGAGGATAAAGTTGTGAATCTGGTTTCCATCCTTCTTGCCTTGGAAACCACATAGATCCTCAAGAAGGGAATAAAGGTTCACTTTAGAATGAAAATAAGGCAATCAAAAACACATTTTAATGGAGATGATAATTATATCTAAGATTCTCCAACCCGATTAATCTACCAAACCTATTTTACGTCTGCCTACTGGCAGACGTCTCACATTTGTTGTCTAATACTGGAGGAGAATTTCAAAATGTCACTCCAGCAGCCAATAGTAATTATGTTATATTTAGATTACTACTTAACAATTCGGTCGCATGGAAGAGAAAAATGAGAGAATATTCTGATCTTTATAAAAGAAATGGATGAAAAATCCTAATTTACTATGGATATGGGAGTGAAGAGATTCTTATCTCTCTTGTATGTGGAGGTCAATTGCTCCGAGTAAACTCTCAGGACAAAACATTTTAGAAATAACTTGCATGCTGCAATAACTCTTA